ACTCTTATCCAGATCAAGATAAAATCTGCGATTAACTATCGAACGCAAAATTGAATAATTACACATCTTGGCTCGAAACGACTAAATACACAAACACACAACACTAGCACTCGAAGCTGCTAGTTGCTAGCATTGAATTAGCATTTTAGTTTGAGGTTTTTTATTTGATCGACGTCGATCGCTGATGCGGCCGAAACATCAAAGCGAAACAAATTGCTGCATCGCTAAACGGCCAGATCAAACAGATTAGCGCAGCATAACATGCTCGTGATATTTAATTAAGACAAATTTTTGTTGGACGCTCGGATTAAAATTCTTCCGGCGTGTTTTCATCGTGTGGGCCAATTACCGTTCAAAATTTACTCGGAGACTAATTAATCCATAAATCAATGCGATATTTATTGATGTGGCAATAAATTATTTCGTTAACATGAATGACTTGTTTTTTTACATCGTTTTGACAAGCGTGTAATGGATAAAAACTATTAATGAAGCAATTAGTGCAAAATAATATTATAATTAATAATAGCGACAGTTTTTACACGGTTTTGAGACAAGAAGAGTGGAAATTTAATCACGGATGATGAAAATCGTGACTAAAGTACTTTAGTCACGGGGTGGAGAATTTTAAAATAAAAAATTGAAATACAAAAAATCTAAGCATGGAAATAAAGTGGACGTAGAAAAAAGTTGTTAACGTGGTTAAAGTGCCACTTAGCGCACTTGATACATAAAATACTATTTTTCCGGATAAAATTTGTCTACAAATGCGAAAAGAAGATAAAAATAAACTAACATGCCGCAGACGGCATTGAGGGCGGCTTATGTCGACATCGTGCTCGGCTTTGAGACTTTATCCGACAAACATTGAATCTGATACGCAGCCCCCTCATGAATTACTCTCTTTTAAGGCGATTTAAATTCCACTCCAAGTATAAACACAACATAAAAATAAAACAATTTACTCGTAAAACTATTGATCTCCAGATGGCGTTGCTTCGCTGCTGATTATTTCGCTTGAGTTTTCGTTTAATTTTGAACTTTGCGCTGCGGAATTATTTGCGTAAGAGTTTAATTACATGTCGTTAATTAAGTGTGCTCGCGCCCCGGATATAAACAAACATGCCTCGCGCGCGAATACGAAGAAAATCAACTCCCCATCGCAAAGCGGGGCGATGCTGCTTTCCACTTTCCGCTTTGCCGACTTTCCGCCTTCGACCTTCGACCTCGGCGCCCGCATGGGAAAAGGAAGAAGTGTCGGCGGGCTGCAACACTTTCGGATATTGCCCTACTACACAATTGAGGATAGTGAACTCTCAACACCCTCGGGCCGCCGCGGCCAAGACTAGTATCCCCGATGGGCAGTTTGTCCACTCTGCGGACTGTGTTTGGTTACGCCTTATTGCCTCCGCAAGTCCAAGGGTCAAATTGCTATCGTTCGACACTCGATAAATGAGATCCTGGACCATTCTGACAGTGCATCACAGTGTATACCTGGGGTTTTTGTTTAGTCGCAAAAAAAGTATCAGAAAATATATTTTTTGTTAAAATATAATTGAAATATTTAATAATTTGAGGTTTTTTGTCGCGAGAATGCCAGTAATATTTTTTTCTTTGAGAAAAACTGCAAATTTTTCGTTGAAAATTATTTGTTGCTTTGTTTTTTGCCTATAAAATTAACAACAATAATCCGATTTTAAAAGTCTAAAGAGATTTATAAAATATAGTTTATTGACTATCATTTGCTACAAGAATAAATAATTTTTGTTCATAAATAACAAAATGGCGTCGATTTTAAGAAAAAAGTACAAATTTTATGTTGAAAAATGTTTTGTCTAAGTCTTTTGGCAATAAAATTAACAACAATAATCGGATTTTAAAAATCTAAAGAGATTTATAAAATATGGCTCATTGACTATTATTTGCCACAAAAATAAATATTTTTTGTTATGTAATAACAAAATGGTGTCGATTTTAAGAAAAAAGTACAAATTTTTCGTTGAAAAATGTTTTTTCTTAGTTTTTTGGCAATAAAATTAACAACAATAATCCGATTTTAAAAATCTAAAGAGATTTATAAAATATGGCTCATTGACTATTATTTGCCACAAAAATAAATATTTTTTGTTAAGTAATAACAAAATGGCGTCTATTTTAAGAAAAAAGTACCAATTTTACGTCGAAAAATGTTTTTTCTAAGTTTTTTGGCAATAAAATTAACAAAAATAATCCGATTTCAAAAATCTAGACAGATTCTTAAAATATAGTTAATTGACAATCCTTTGTAACAAAAATAAATAATTTTTGTTAATTAACAACAAAATGGCGTCGATTTTAAGAAAAAAGTACAAATTTTACTTTGAAAAATGTTTTTTCTAAGTTTTTTGACAATAAAATTAACAACAATAATCGGATTTTAAAAATCTAAAGAGATTTATAAAATATAGTTCATTGACTATCATTTGCCACAAAAACAAATCATATTTATTAATTAACAACAAAAAGGCGTCTATTTTAAGAAAAAAAATACAACAAAACTATTTTTTCATCATATAAAAGACAAATTTAAAAACCTGTATTTTTGTGTAAAATATAATCGAAGCATTTAATAACTTGCCGCCTCCCATCGTGGGAATTCCGGAAAAACCTCCGGAAGAAGAAAAATCGCTTACGTGATTTATGAAGCGTGCGTTATGTTAAACCGAAAATTCCTCTCTTTACAATCCCCGCTATTCTCCTGCTATTCTTCATTTTTTATGATTTACACATTTTCGACATTTTTCAAATATCCGAGATTATTACGCGTATATACCAGTACTCACTTCCTCCGCACATCATACATGTATCTACTTCCGCTCCAAGTCAAAAATATAATATTCCGAGTCTTTATCGCCGTAGAACGTAAAAATTTCAACTTTAAGTTTATGATGCTGACGAAATCGATCCTTGTGGGATGGTTTCATTCATTGCTTCGAGAGACGAAAAGACCAAGACTTAACAGCAGATAGAAGACGCAGCGCTTTAAAATGTTTTGCGCTCAATCAATTTCCATATAAATGCTGCGGATTAATTGAAAAATATCGTCCGCGTCGACACATTCGTACGGCCTTATTCATTAATATGTAAAATATGTAAATTGGAAACGTAATTATGCGCACTGCAGGTGATCACAGCTAGTTTAGGCCCTTTTTAAGCAGTGGTAATCTCCAAGGCGCGGAGAAGACAAACTATTACAATTCGAAAGTGAAAACATTCATAAAAACATATTTAAGTGCATCAATGTAGTTGAGGACTATGTTGGAGAAACGGTATAAGTATCGAACATAGGGAAATACACACTGTAAATCAGTAATTCGTGTTTTAAGGTTAGTAATTGTCTAAATATAGACAACCAATGTTACAAAAAAGTAAAATGTAGGTTTTTAGAGCAGTATTTAGTCGAAAATTGTTAAAATTCGAAATATTTTGTATTAGGTTGCATAAAATTGTCGTTGGACAATGTTGGAGATGACGTACAAGTATCGAACATAGGGAAATATTTACATAAGATATTTTCTTAGTTATTTCGTGTATAAATGGTTGCCGAATATTCTACTAATCTTTAATCAGTGTTTTAAGGTTAGTAATTCTTTTAATATAGGCAACCAACATCACAAATAACAAAAAAATGTTTTTTTTTTTTATATTTTACGGTTTCCATTGCACCTTGTATATTCCTGTACAAGAGGTAACATAAGTAAGCAATGGCAGACACATTTGTAGAAACATTTAGTCGCATTTGTCGCGCAATAACGTCGACAAAACGGACGAGCGCGGTAGTGTGGGCGCTGCGTGGTTTATTAGTAGACGACGATTGTTTTCTTCGCTCGCTGTTCACTCTGCAGCAATGCAGGCAGTGCCACGGTGTTGTGGTACAGCGCGCCCGAGAGAGGAAATTAACCTTGTAGCGGCTTGAAATCGCGCAATAAAATCGGGTAAATAATTGCCGCTCTGCGATGCGTGGCGATGTAACGTATCGAAAACGCGGCGGGGACGCAGCAGGATGGACGGGCAGAGTGCAGCACGCCTGCCAGTATCTCGTAGAAAGGCGATAAAAGCGGCTAATAACACCTGATTTTCTGCCGGCGTGCGGTGCACACACTAATTGCCCTTATTACGCGAACAAATTGTGCACGTTTTATGTCACTAAATGCTAAATTTTAGTTAAAGTGCCGTTGCTTGCGCTTAATATACGAGTAGTATCTGAAGTAGACAATTTTATTACTTATCACTAAAGTGATGATGCGAGCGATTCTTTTTTGTTGCTTTTTGAGAGTGTGAAAAGGAAAAAATGTCATTCATCAATGTCAATTTACACCCGTTTCGCTGCTTCGATGATTCTCATTTTTTACCGGGGATGGAGTAAAGGAGAGGACACTTAACGAACCGAAAAGAGGTTGCAGAGGTTGCCACCCTCATCGGGCTGCTGAGATTTTGCACGCGAAGGGAAAACAAACAGCATTATTCATTTGCGTTACGCGTGCTTCGAATATTATCAGGGACACGCGCCACAAGCAAATTCCCTGAGATTTAAATTCATAAGTTACAAAAGTTGGGATTTTCTCAAAATCTACTTGGAGAATATTACTCAAATTTCGTATAGGTGTTAAGAAAATATTTATTTATGATTTTGCAAAAAATCAAGTAAAATTTTTTATTGTTGTTAATTTTATAGGCAAAAAACGGAGAAAAATCATTTTGATAATGAAAATTTTGATTTTTTTCTTAAAATCAACGCCATTTTGTTGTCTATTAACAAAATTTATTTATTTTGGTGACAAAAGATAGTCAATGAACTATATTTTATAAATCTCTTCAAATTTTTAAAATCGGATAAAAATTGTTAATTTTATAGCCAAAAAAACTAACAAATAACATTTTTCCATAGAAATTTTTCATTTTTTCTTAAAATCAACGCCATTTTACTATTTATTAACAAAATCTCTATATTTTTGTTCCAGATGACAGCCAACGACCCCTATTTTCTAAATCTCTTCAGATTTTTAAAATCTGACCACCAGAACCCCCACAAACCGTAAGTAAAACTCCCTTTAAAAAATATTCAAAAATTACTTACGTTTGCATGCGCGCCGATGCGTGATCGCCTTATTCTCGTCGCGATAGAACCCTTCCCGACAGTAGTGACAATGGCGGCCGGAAGTATAATGGCGGCACTTGAGGCATATACCGCCCGAGATGCGTCCAGACACCTTGTACACATCCATATCGAACTTGCACCGCCTGGCGTGCTGATTACACTCGCATGCTGCAACAAACACACAAAATTAGTTTTTAATTACCCAAACAACCCCACATCCAGTGTATGCATGTGTGTGATTGCGGTGATAAATCTTCGTCTAGGGTAACACGAACGTAGAGATAAGGGTGGGTGCGTTTTAATCAATCAACAAGTTTACGTGCACATTTTGCAAATTGTCAGCGTGTCGATGAGATGAGATGAGGAATGGGGGTGTGAAATGTCGGAATCAATATCGGTAATACCGGTATTTTTATTTTCAAATACCGGTATTTTTTGAAATGATATTTCTTTCGATATTAATAGGAATTTTCATATTTTCCCTAAAAAATACCGGTATACCGAAATACCGGTTTTTAATTTTCAAATACCGGTATTTTTCAATACCGGTTTTCAGATATTTTAATTTAAAACATTCCCCTAAACGAAAATACCGGTACTAAACTGCAAATTCAAATTATAAATGAAAAAATTAAATATACAGGGTGTTTACGGGGAAATAAATTCAAAAACAACCCTTAAATGTTAAAAAATATGTTATTTCTGTCCTACTATGAGCAATACATATTGAAGAGAGGGGTTGGGATTCATAATACGATGTCAGCGACAGACAGCGATGTTTGAACTCGCTGCAGGGCCTGCACAGGGATGAAGGAACGCTGGCACAGGGTGGTTATCGCATGTAATGAGAGCCGAGACACGCAGGCCCCTGCGGCTGCACTGTCAACCCCACTTGTGCGCCCCGTGTGCTTTTCCTGATCCTTATTTGCGCTGTACGCCTTCCCTCCCCCTCCCCTCTCCTCTGCCCTCACACGCAGAGGGTTGTTTAGTAATGTTTACGTTTGCGTTGTGGATTTAATCATTATTTTTTGTCCCTGCGCAAATTTATTCCATGTGAGAACTTAAATATTTCTATTTTTGGTTCTTGGCTCGTAAATATGATGCATGCGGCTTGTTAAATGTTATGGGCCTGGAACTGGACCAGCGCAGTCGGGCATGATTAACACATAAGCGTCGTTACGGCGGCGGCAGCCGTACCCGCGGGATAAATATTTAGATAATATATACGAGGCGCGTCGCGGCGCGAGCATAAAACGCGTCGGGTTGACAAAATAGACGCTCGTAATGACCAATTTTGCAAGATGAATGGAATTTCATGCACGCACACGCGCATGTGGACCCGCAGAGTTATATAACTGCAGTAGACACATAAATTTAGCAAGAAATATAAGAAAATTTAATTTTTCAAGAATTTTTTTCAGTTTTTTTGCAATAAATAAAAAACTACTCGCAGTGTAATAATTATTTTTGGGTAGAATATAAATATATTAATAATAAAGAAGTGTACCAAATTTCAAGTCAATAGGACGGATAGTTTTCGAGATATTTAAAGTTTAAAGTTTTTAATATTGTTATTTCTGATCACGTTAGATGGCGGTAGTGATATGTGCGCTACGTAAGCGACCCCCTCCAAGATTAGACCACGCGCAGTATAAAAGGGTGCACACGCTCATTACCCTCTCATTCAGCGCTTCGCTCTTATTTCGCTCACAACTAAAAATAAACGCAATTCGTTATTGTTTCCTCTGATAAACACTAATAGCATATGAAAAAATATTTGATATTATACAATTGACGTAATTCTAAACCTCCGATCGTATATTACTCGAAACAAAAGAAGATTAAAACAAAGAACAATAAATAAAAAGATCTCAACTGAAATAAAAGCACCGCGTGAACGAAATTTTCAAGAGTAAATAAAAAATATACTTTGGTACGACTTCTGGCGTTGATTCAAGCCAACAAAATCCCAAACAGGCAAATGCACTCTATTCCATTCATTTCAACGCGCTCCGAATATAATAAAAACTTGTTTAAGACACACAACAAAGATGACTTTATTCACCAAGTCTTCCGATTGAATAAATTTCATAATATTTCCATCAAAAAGCGTTAAATAAAACATAAACATAAAAATATTAATAGATATAGCATTTGGGCGTGTTTCATATTCATATTCATCGTGATTATGTGCGCAATTCATTTTTGCAATTTGCAAAAATGGCGTCGTAGTTATCGATGCGTGCGATAGACGCGCGCACTGCATCGGCACGTACTATCGCAAGATGCTGGCGCAGAGACGCCTTAATGGACCACACACGTCTGCGACCACAAATGAGCGCGCCACGGAGAAAATCTTCATTCTTACGCACTCGCCAGAACAGGATCTCGAAAGATATAAAATATAGAACGATCTGTTGTGTGGTAATAATAATAATAATCGTCATAGGGCGTGCACTGCGTATGATTTACATTAACATGCTAATGGTTGAATTGTAAGAAGAAAAGAAGAAAAAAGGAAATTCTAATAAACTACAGAGATGCGTTTAATTTTTATTAGCAGGTGAATCTGATTGCGTACATACTCGTAATTTGCAATTAACTATAAAATATGTAATAAAAATTTAATTAATGATTTTTTTATGATTTTTGAGGTTGTTTTTGACACAAATTGCAGAATAATTACTAAAATATCTTAGAACTTTAAGAAAAACAGAATTATGGACGAAAATGTAGTTTTTAGAAGAGGTTATGTCATTTTACGTAACCAACAATGTAAATTTCATCGTTTGACAAGCAAAAATGCGAATAATTTAGATAAAAAATGATTTTAAACAAAATTTATTGATAAATAACAAAAATTTAAGAAGAAAAACGCATAATTGAGGTTATGTTGGTATCCAAATTAAGAAAAAGTCGTTTTTCGATTAGGTTATGTCATTTTACATAACCAAAAATGTAAATTTTCATTTTTTCACCGCAAATTCACCAAAAATCGAGTAATTTCCCCAAAAATAAACAAAATTTACATAAAAATCAATTCCAAACAATTTTCTTGTCAAAAACTACAATTTTAACCTAAAAATTAAAAAATGAGGTTATGTATGTATTCCTACCGCCATCTAACGGTTTTAACCTCAAAAATATTTCAATTTTTGATTTGCAGCTTGAGTGCTAGAACACAATAAATAAATTAAAACCCGATTGTAATCAATTTGTGGGCTGGCAAACACGAAACCGAAAATAGCTTTTTGATTAATTATAATTTGACATTCATAACCGACAAAAATATACTCCAAGAGAATGTAGTCCAGCGAGATAATGACGATAATATATGCATAATGCATGTTTACATTATCCCCATTTGCATTTATTAGACGCTCGCCGATAGAAATATGTCGAGATGCAGCTGGGAGTTCATTAGACGCAATTAAAAATACAATCGGGGTTAATTAATGAATACGGCACGCATGCAATAAATCAATTAGGAATCAAGAATCAAAAATTCAATAAGTACGCGCTTAGATAAACAGAAGAAGAAGCAGGAGTTGTACAGAAGTAACAGAGATTAATTACATAATAGATATTATAATGGTTTTTGAGTTTGAGAGCAGTTGAATGTCGTTCGTTGCTTGTGTTTGCGACATTTTGTCATTCATTACGCGCGTATTGTTTGCTCCGTCGCGGTGGAAGCCCCTTTTGTTTTGGTTTATTAATGATGGTGCCTGATGATGCACATTAAACGCATCTTTAACCCTTCTGGAATTGCGGTGTAATTAAAAATTTATCATAATTTATCAATAAACACTTGCTAAATAAATTTACATACGTGGAAGAAAGGGTGAGAATGTTTGTTATTTTATTTTATGTAAAGAAAATGGAATTTAAGTGTACAAGTTGTTTGAATTGAGTTTGTATGTGGGTGTTTTAATTTATGCGTTGTTCGGACCTTTTGCGGTATATTGCAATTCATTTCAGCTCGCGGCGTGTGCAAATGTGATGAAAAAAGCGCAAACAAACTGGAACCGAAGAGATTTATCGTGGTTTGTTCGGCTGGTCGATTAATATTTATAAATTTATATCATTGATGAAAAGCGGATCCAATCAACAATAACAACAACAACAACAATAAAAATCAGAGGTACTTGTTTATCTAGTTGCTGCTGCCAAATTTGGACGAAGTATCTATTATTGTTGGTTATGTTAACTAAACTAACCTCAATCGAAAAAAATAAAGTTTATAGGTGAAATTAAATAAATACCGGTATTAGAAACAAAAATACCGGTACACCGGCCTCAAAACCGGTATTTTTCAGACCTGGTTTCTTCTTTGCGTTAAATTTTACCTTTTTTATGTTTAAAAGGAAAAGAAAAGTAGTTGTTCAATTAGGTTATGTCATTTTACATAACCGCAAATGTAAACTTTTATTTTCTTTGTCATTTTCTGATTTTTTTAAAATTTATTTTGGTTATTTTGCTATTTATGCGCAAAACAAAGTTATAAATAGCGTAACACCGCCGTCTTTATTCCTTACGAGCAGATGTTGCTAAAATGCTCATTAATAACAACAACAACACGATTTATAATCCACGCGAAAGGAATTCAGTGAGGCATGTTGCGACGCCGGCGAAATGCAGAAGTTTATCAATATTCAATGACAAATTTGCGGCGTCGTGGCCATTGCGACCATTTTTGTCCGTTGGCGGCAATGCCTGCAATGCATGCTGCCAGCAACATGGCAGCGAAATACCATCGCCATATAGAGTGTAATGTAATGTGTGCGCCGGCGTGCAATGTGTATGCCTACTAATCAAAGTTAGTGCTAGAGCCTCAGTCACACGAGCATAACATGAACATATTGTTACGTCAAGTTCAAAAAACAAAAAAAATTACAAAATCGTAAAAAATAGTATATTAAGTATCAAGTGTGCTAAGTGGCACTTTAACCACGTTTGCATACGTTTTTTTTTCTACTTTTAGTTTTTGTATTTGAACTTTTTATTTTAAAACTTCGAATTTTTTTCGTAAATTTCTGGGAAATGAAAGGTTATAAATACATGGGAGTTCGCGCACGCACTTGAAATCACACGCAGGCGCGCAGCGTCGACACGAGCAGTAACAGCGCATGCTGCTTTGTTTGACTGACGGCGCATGGCATTTCATATAG